GCTGCAGGTCAGTGCAAAGGGCCCAGACTGAATCCCCGGAACCGGAAGAAGAAACAACAGCAACTGGAAGCTTTGCTTTGCTTTCTTGCTCAGCAAAAGAGAAAGTTTCCAGTGGCTGTGCCGCAGCTGGCGCTGTCCCAGTTATCAAAGAGGGGATAATAATAATGATGTGATGATGGTCCTGTCCAAAGCAAAGCTCACAGGCGAAACTGGAAAAGTAAAACAAGCAATTAGGAAATGGGCTTAAAAACGCGGGGTGGAAATAACCCACGAGTGGCCTTCAGAACACGTGAGTCGTGCTGGCGCGGGCAGGGCTCCCGGGTCCATGCTCGCACCTGCTGTCCCTCTGGCGCCTCAGTCTCCTTGCTTGTAAAATGAGGGTAATCATAGTATATATCTCTAATATAAAAATCAGTAAACACTGGTAACATGCTTAGAACATGAGAAAGAACAATTGAATCTGTCCCATTTTTTTGGTGTAAGCCGCTATCCTTATTTTAGCATATGTGCTGCCAAAGCAAACACGTAGAGTCAAGAAATAAATCCCATTTAATTGTGCCTCCAAAGACCAGCAGGCCTGAATATTCACTCATTCACTCATTCATTCATTCACTTGTTCAATTCTTAGTCACCCTACACATCACCACAAGCTGAGGACAACCACATTTGTGCCCTTCTGGAGCTTAAGCATAACAGAGAAAACAGAAGAAAAAAGAAAAAAACTGCACGTAGCACTGCCCGGTAGCAATAAGTGCTGTGAAGAAGAAAAATCGGTGTAGGGCATAGCGACGGTGGGGAGCTAGCCTCAGAGGCGTTCAAGGAGGATGTCTTTAAAGGTGATATCTGCAAACAGAGGTCAAAAGGACATGATACACATATCTGAGAGAGTTATGTCCTAGGAAGAGGAAAACAGCAAGGAAGAGGTCCAAGTCAGGCAAGAAGTCCCTGCATCTGGGGAGCGTCCAGGCCGTACAGTGGGGGGATGAGCGGGACACGGAGGAGGATTCAGGACAGAGGGCCGGAATATGCAAAAGCAAGAATTTGTTCTCAGTGTGAAAAAACGTTGCTGAGTGTTTTAAGCTAAGGAGGATATTATTTTGCCTATATTTAACAGAATGATTATGCTGGTTTCCAGAATAGAAAATAGAAGTAGCTAGAAAGTTACTGTGGGGGAAAAAAATAGGAAAATGATCGTGGGACTCTGTTAAGAGACGGAGGAGGGCTTAGAGCAAGTGACAGCAGTTGTTGTGTTAGGAAACCCATGAGGGCAGACCAGCGGGGTCACCGGCCTCGGCCACAGTGGCAGGCCGGGGAAAATGCCAAATCGGCTCCCGGTGGTGGTGGAGGAGCAAGACAGCGGAAGGAGACCAAGGACAGCATTTTGACAAGTTCGTTTTGAGACGCCAGTCGCTCTTTCCCTTGTGGCAAGCAGGTGACAGTGTGGACGAGGGCAGGCCAAGGCAGGCCACAGTGCGTGGCCACTGTGTAGAGCCCCCTGATTGGATGAGTAAGTATGGACAGCTAGCCCAAAGGGAAGGCAGGAAAAACACTCGAAAACTGAGAGATTGGGAGAGGAGGAGCCCGCAGAAGAGGCTGAGCGGCAGCCTCCTGCGTGGGGAACTTCCTGTCGTACCCGGCTGCGGAGAAGTCGCGTGGAACGAACAAGGAGACCTGAAAATGCCGGAACATCATATTCTCTGCTCACGTTGACAAAATTTCGTGTCAGTGAGCAATGAAGACGAAGCCCCATCATAACTGGCCGCGGAGAGGACGCTGGAGAGGAAGTTGAGGCACGGAGCGCACCGTTTTAAGGAGGTGGGGATTTTTTAAATTTATTTTTATTATTTTCCGTGGAGGGAACGAGAAATGGAATGTCAGCTGGCCAGTGTTTAAGAAGGAAAACCTGAGCGGCCTGGCGACCCTTACACGCGCGTGTCGGCGCTCGCTGGGCTCGACCGCGCACCGTGGGAGCAACTCGGCGCGGTGGGACGGCCGCGGAGCGCGGAGAGCGCGCCTGCCGAGAGCGCGTCCCGCCCGGGGAGTCGGCGGGCTCGCGGCGTGTGAGAGCCGAGCCCCCAGCTCAGGGCTACGCGAACGAGCTCGAGACAGGACGCGCGAGGGAGAGGGCCGGCGTGGGCCAGGCGCTGAGGTCGTGTCAGGAGGGGGATGCGGGTGACGTCTAGCCAAGTAGCAGCTTTCTGTAGCGGTTACTCGTCCAGTACAGAAAGTTGTCAAGGGTCCAGAAAACATATTTTTAATGTAACATTGCAATTTTCGCCTTTGGTAATTTATATTGTCATCCCTCATTTGCTCCATTTTATTGTGGTGGAAAAAAAAAAGAGGAGGAGGAGAAAGGAAAGGGGCATAAGGGGGGCAAGGGTTGTGGGGAGAAAGGGAAAGGAAGGAAGAAGGGAAGGAAAGGTGAAGAGCGGAACTGCACGACCACATCAGAGCTTATTTAAAAGGGTTATAGGTCGCACACGCCAGGTGAGGCCCGTGGTATGCACAGCGCTTCCGATTCCTTCTCAGGAAAAGATACAGCTTCTCATGTTTACCTAAGGCTGGTGATTTCGTTTTCCATGCAGTTTCCACCTCGGTTTGGTCTGAGCTGGCTTCCTGGAGGGAAAGGAAAGTGTTTTCAGTTCATTGCACATGCGCTGATGGGCCAGGTGATTTATTTGCTGAAGACTTAACGAAAAATGATCACTCCAGGTAGGATAGAGAAACCGACCTCTGGTGACACGCCTCTTCGAAACTTCCTTAGCAATTTTCCTAAAGCAGGATAGAAAACGAAAATAGGGCTCGTCCGGGATTTGAACCCGGGACCTCTCGCACCCTAAGCGAGAATCATACCCCTAGACCAACGAGCCACGCCAGCTACCTCTCTTAACGCTGCTTGAAGTCTGATGTGGAGCGGCGGCTGTTTGGGAATTCCGTGGTGTTCTAGCGGCCCCTGCTGGATGGAACCTGGACCTGCTTGTACAAGTCGCGGAGGCAAACCCCACACGACCGGTGGATTTTCTGAGGCTGCGAGCGATCCAAGCCATACACGAAGGCTCCGGCTGCAAAGTTTATTGCGTGTCGCTTAATAAACCTGGGGACTACAGAGACCTCGGAGAGCGCGGAAATGTCTATGTAAATGGGGAAAAGAAAATATATGTAGGCCCCAGCGAGATTTGAACTCGCGACCCCTGGTTTACAAGACCAGTGCTCTAACCCCTGAGCTATGGAGCCACCACCTGCGAAACAGGCCTCTGGTACTCAACTTATAGGTGCGCATTATAAGGTCGCTGCTGACATTAAGCAGGGCCTTCGTTTACATACAATTTAAACATCTAGCGCTACAAAACCGAACCTTTTTTGTGCCTGAGAACCCGCTGGCTGGAAAGACCGCTGTGAGCGGAGCCTCCGCGGCGCCGGCTTCCTGCCCTTGTCTCGGTGGCTGAGGTGATGCGCTCTCCTTCGCCTCCGGTGCACAGAAGGACCGCAATGAAAGAATTTCGGGTGCCGACCCCAGACCCAGGGCGGAGGAGCGCGCCGGGAGGCTGGCGCAGGCAACCGCCCTTTCCCCGGCGGTAAAACCCGGGGGAGGGGTGAGAGATTGGCTCCGCTGTTTTTCAGAGTCCACAGCGCCAAATCAAACCCTTAAGTCTGTTTTGTTTTGTTGCTGTTTTGCTTGTTGTTGTGAATGTCTTTCTCAAAGTCCAGGAAAAGGAACAAGCATACGTACTGGAAAGGCCTATTGGGGAGGAAGAGTTTAAGACATACAGATTTATGCATCTTTGCTATAATTTTTTTTAAATTTTTATTTATGAATTTATTTTTACATATTTAGTACACATATTTAGTACGGGGTCTCACTACACAGATAGGACTCGTAGTGAGTCTCCTGTTTTTCAGGCTCCCCAGCGCTGGGATTACAGTCTCACGCCACCACGCCCAGTCTCAATAACTTTTATTTTAAATTTGCATTTTCAGTTTTTTTTGAAACCTCGTTTATGTAATCTGGTAAACAAGAACTAAAAATGTCTTTTTCGGTGAAAGGGTTGGTACCTGCTTACCTTAAAGCCCTGACTTGTGGCAGCCCCAAGAGCGAAGCGAGTGGGTTTAGGAAGGGTCGCGCTCGCTGCCACCGGCCTACTTCCGCGCTGGTCTCTAACGTTTGCATTTGCTCAACAGCACAGAGTTTGTCAGCAATCTGTAAGCTCTAGTCTCCGTGCCTCCACGCGTGAAGGTTGTTATGCACGTTCACTGCCTTGGCCTCTTCCCGCCGCCTCAGCCCAGCGTGGAGAAGCAGGGACGGATGTCTCACTCTGCCTCTAACCCCACAGCACGACACAGCTTTTGTCCTGAAGGGCAATAAACATAGGTAAGCCCACGCTTGTCCTGTAGACTATTTCTATTGATGAATTTTAACGTTATGAGTTTAAACTCAACAAGAAAAATATAGTACTGCATTTTTAATATTTATTATTTATAAAAAAAGCATCAAAAAGTTCAACATTGACTGGTTTTTGGTTTCCAAAAGTCTGAAAAAGAACCACAGAAATAAACTTCCATTTGAACTACAGTGAAAATATTAAGCACATATGTTTTACATTCTTCGACATGTTTGACATCTCGATGATCTTACTGTTTTGTGAGAAGTTCTTATTGTATTACACGTGTAGTTAACAGGAACATAAAATATCAATAAAATAAAGTACCAAATTTTTCATATATATTACACAATTAGAATAAATATTAACATTTTCCCATCAGCTGTGCACTTGCTAAGACATGACATCAGAAGTAAAAACCTGTGTGGCCAGCACTGTACCACGGACAACTTCATCGCAGAAAGAACCTTTGCCTCACTCGCCACACCCGCGTGGCCTGCACCCGCGGCCTGCACTCGGCAGCTGCACACCCTGTGCCGCCTCACTCGCACTCACTGAGCCGGCGTTCACCTCTCCTTTCCTGTGCCACACCTTTCTTCTCACCTCACTTCTCTTCCTATGTTGGCGGGAGCTTCCTACTATGGTGCCCAATGTATACTTGGCAGGGAAATAAAAATCAATAAAATAAAATATCAAATGAGTGCTTAGAAGAGACACAACCAATTTCATGTCATCTGTGTACTTGCTTACAAAACCGAAGACATGACATCAGAAATAAAAGCCTTTGTGAGTTGCAGGGTAAATGGAAACAAAAGTTCTCCCGGCCCAGGAGACGCCGGGGTGCCCCGTGCTTGGCCTGTCTGATCTCAGAGCAGCCCCAGAGTCCCTTCTGCCAGCTTCCCAGACTGGAGCCCGGTGCAGCATGGAACCTCTTCCCTGCTATTTGGTATCACAAGAGGACGTTCTAGGGCTGGGAGATCGCTCAGTGACATAGTGCCCATCTGTGACACAGGGTTCTGAGTTCAGGTCCTGGTAATGAAAGAAGGGGCCTTATAAGAGCGTTTAAATTTGTTTTTATGTTTTCTACATTTCTTCTATTTTCTCTCAACTTTTTATTTTGAAAAACCTTAACTCTCAAAGTCAAGCCCACTGGTTGAATAAGGGAAGTCAGGTCCACTGGTTAGCGGTGGAGCTTCTGCCAAGGACTCGCGGGAGCGGTGCTTTCCACGTAAGGAAATCCCTCAGCTTGGGAGTAGAGCAGGCAGCACTGCAGGACAAGATGGAGCTCTGCTGTAATGACTGACTCCTTTCATTACCCAGTCTGACACTAAAGAGGATCAAAGACAGTCACTCCCATCTTAAGAGGTGGTTTCAGAAACTGTGGGATATTTAAATTGATATTTTAACCAAGTAGCACTTTTACATTACATATAATGATGTTTATTTGGGAACGGCACAATATTGCACTAGGGATATACATGCTGCAGTAAACTGGATGTGTTCAGAAGGGTTGAGGCAAGGAGATTTTAAACAAAATGCAGAGGGCAACATCCATCAGATATACTGAAGCAAGCCTTGGCGACCATGACAATGAGGGGTCTCAATCGAGATGAACAGACATTTGAGGGGAGAAATCCTTGGGTGATATTATTTACAATCTTATAATTTTATAATTTACAATTATATCATTTTTGTATAAGATTGTGGGCACCTCTATATAAACATGTGTTCCTGGCAGAATCTTTTGCAATAATGACCTTCAGGCAATTGTGCTTCAGAATTTTAGCTTCATAGGGCCAGCCAAATAGGCAGATTAAAGCGTCTGCAAGCAGGCGCAGGAGCTGGAGATTTGATCCCCAGGCCTGCTGTGTGGGCCCAGCCCCCAAGGCGTGAGACAGCAATTGAGATTGGGCATGGTGGCACACACCTGGAATCCCAGCTCTTGGGAGGCTGTAAACAGGCAGAAGTCTATGAGTCCTATCTAGTAGTGAGACTCTGAACACCCTGTAGGCACTTCCCTAAAAAATACAAAATAAAAAAATAAAGAATTTTTCCTTTATAATGTCCAGGTTTCAGTTTTCTGTTAGGGCTGATGCAGGCGATTCCATTCTGATTTTGCCTACTGTCACACTCTCTTGCCCACTTCTCATGACATATAAAGGTGGCTTATTCATCCAGTCTCTGGGATTCACTCAGATTTTTAGAGATAAGTAAAACTGTTGCAACCATAGAAGAAAATTCAGATTTTGGGTCTGCACAGTAGGGCAAAACGCTGGAAAATTGCAATTATAAGCATTTCCTTGTCATGTGGTAGTGCGGCCAAGTGGTCTATGGTGCTGGATTTGGGTTCCAGTCTCTTTGGGGATATGGCTTTGAATCCCACCAATGCCATAAGTGTATTTCATTGTAGTTGCAATTCTGGGCTATTGAAGATATATGTTAAGAAAAAGATCTTTGTGCATTAAGGATCCAACCATTTCTGTAATGTTCTTGTCCTATTAAGGACACTTCCCAACATCTCACGTTGTTTTCATCTTGGTGTCCTCTATGTGAAACTCAAACCACAGTGAGTTTTGCTTAGAGATATCGGCTTTGGCAGGGCAGTATCACCCGACTTCTCTTTGCAAGACACCCTAGCTGATCCTGACTTTTATTTAAAAGTCCATACTCTTCACCATTTTTGTGTCCCCATGGCAGGGACCCCGTCTTTGCTGATTTGGGGACTAAAGCCAGAGCTCCTGCTCTGAGAGCACCCTGAGAATATCCTATTTTGGTTCTCAGTAAATCACTTTTATAGTGGAATGTGATGAACAAATGAGCCGATGCAGAAACCCAAGACTTAGCTGAGCTCATGAACAGCTGGAGGGGAGTGGGTAAGACGCTGTTCTGTGTTTGAATTTGTAGCTGGCTGTGATTTGTTAAACCCAGCCAAACTCTTCCAGACCAAGAACACTCTGGAATAAACCATTTATTTAGACATTATCCAATGCTAAGAAAAGACTAAAAATGAAAATGAAAAGACTGATCCTGAGACAAGTTTCTACAGCCTCTGGCAGCAGGGCCAGGTAGCAACTGGGAAAATTTCCAGGGAAGGAGAGTTAAAAATATTTTTTTAGCAAAAACTTGGGGAAGGAAAACGTAAGCTTTTCACACTGAATATATATTGGCTATAGAGAAAAGAGGTGGAGTTCCACAAGGAGGGGACAGTTTGGGACAGGAAGGCAGTCCACTAGCAGTAAGGCAATTGTCTCTGGATTGGTCTGGGGTTGTAAGCATGTGGTGATTTAAAGTTTTAATTTGCGTTCAAAAATGTGAAATTGTTTTGTTCTTTGTTGCTTCTTAACTAATTTCCCTGGTCTCTGTTTTCCTCCATCCTCCTGCCCTTTGTAGCTAAATTAAGACATCTCAGCGTTTTTCTCTTAGCAGACTCCCAAACTCTTGAAAGCTTGTTCTTAGCTTAACCTGAGTCAGGCTGGTATGGGGTCAGGGGATGAGCTGTAGATGTTGGTTCTGCCCTTCTCACCCTTCCCCTGCCTTTTTGAGTGACTCTACTTACCTGGGAGCCTGTCCTGTCTCGGAAACGCCCTCTGGGATAGCTGGGTAGGCTCTGGCACAGTGAGGAAAAGAGGAGTGGACGTACGTAGGGCCTACTAAGTCACACCTGCTCAGAGGGGCTGTTCTGCACCAGCCAAGGGCCAAGGCAGTTCCCAAAGCAGGCGTGAGAAGCCTACACCCACCCTGCCTGTTCACTGACTCTTATCATGGAGAAGCACTTCCCAGGACTATTCTTAAAAAGGCATAAAGAGATTGATTAGACAAAATTGTAAAAATACACGCTCAGAGAAATAGAGTTTAGGCCCTCAAGAGAGGTGCACTTCCTCCTGGAACCAGGAACATTTATGTTTTTCTTCAAAAGGTGAAAACCGATGGAAAACATGACATTTCTGTTATATCTCTCCTGTTTAGGGAAGGGTCTACAGAGTGTTCAGGGTCTCACTACTAGATCAGACTCATAGTGATTCTCCTGTTTGCAGCCTCCCAAAAGCTGGGATTACAGGCGCACGCCACCACACCCGGTCTCATCTCTCTCTGTCATAGCATTCCTTTCTCCACAGGGCATTTGTTCCATTTTTTCAACTCTTATTTTTCTTTCTTTCTGACATTTAATTCTGGGCATTATCCTGAAATGTACTAAATTTTTTCACTTCTACTCATCTCCCTCAATAACTTCCACAAACCTAATCTCTCAAGCTCACAGTTTTCAAAGACCTAGAGAAAACCTCCTGTCAGGGCACGTCTCCCTCTAAGAGTCACCCTTAAGCCCCTCCCACTCCTGCACAACTGTTTCTCCCCAACATGGCCCTTTCCTGGCCTTTTCCCCCTTCTCTACTCACAACTGGAGCTTCTCCTAGGCTCTGTAAGAACAAACACTCCAAAAACACTGCCTTGGAGTGTTTTTGTGCCTGTGAGTTACTGCTTTGCTTCTTCCGTCTGAAGAGCCCTGGCTACCCCACAGCCCCACTCAGCCCTTCCCTTTTCCATCAAAGAATGCCTGCTTGCTTCTGCCTCCATCACCTGGCCACTCACTATGCCCTGATTTCTGTCTGCATTACCTCCACAAACACAGAATTAGCCCTGAACCTCTGTCCCCCTTCCTTATTCCCCTTGACATCTGCTGCCGCTCCTCAGCTGCACCCCTGCCATATCCCCTTGCTCGCTCTTCCTGTCCCTCTCCCAAGAGGCTTTGTCTTGCACTACACACAGACCTAAAAGCTCCCTCACTCCCTTAAGAATACATCAACATTTCTGTCAAATTGAAGCTCAAAATTCTCTTCGGTCTCTAGCCACCATCTTGCTCACTCCTTTTTGTTGTCCTAATTGTGCCCTCAAGTTGTCCTGCAAATGCTTAGCGGTAATATCAACATATGAACACACAGCATTTTGTATTCAGTTCCTTCAGACTATGAGTTACTTTATCACCAGTTTTATTTTTAATATTGTAGGGACCTTATGTTCAAAGAATAGCTTTAGTTTACACTAAAATTGAGTAGGAAGCCTTCTTCCAAGCTCCTACCCACCCCACAACACATAGCCTTTCTCACTTGTACAATGGTTTCAACCAGTAGTGATATGTCATTATTAACCAATTATTAAAGAAACATCATTGTTCGCCACAGTTCACAGGTTACCTTAGGGCTCATTCCTGGTGTTGCTTGGATAAATGTTTGTCGCCATGCCTCTACTGTCACTGAGTCTGCAAAGCAGCTTCACTGCCTGCAGCGCCCCGGGCTTCATGCACTCACTTTTTTCTCCCCTAACTCCTGAAAGCCACTCATCTTTTTGCTGTCTTTGCAATTCTGCATTTTTCAGAATGTCATAAAGTTGGGATCCCGCAGAATGCAGCCTTTCAGGTTGCCTTCTTTCACTTACTAAGACGCATTTAAATTCATCTCCATATCTTTTAAAGGCTTGATAACTTATTTCCACTTTGCAGCTGAATGCTCTCCAGTTGTCTCGGTGTAGCACAGTTTACTTATACATTTGTCTGCAAAAGGACACCTTGGTTGCTTTCCAGTTTTCGCAGCTGTGAATAAAGCCACTCGAAAGCTTGGTGTGCTGGTTTTGCATCTAAACAAGGACTGAGGCATGTGATCAGTGGAAGGCCTGGGAAAGATCCTTCCCCTTGCAGAAGGATCTATAAGATTCATTTCCGTAATGTGATTGTATATTTT